CTGGTACCGGTCGATGGCCGTCAGCGTCATCGCCAGCACTGACACGTACACCGAAAGGGCCTGGACGAGGGGCACCAGCTTGCAGAGGGCGCTCCCCAGCGGCCAGTTGTCGGTCAGGTTTCGTACTGTAGTGTAGTGTATTGTTTTAGGCAGTTCAGCCGGTGAAGAAGAAGGGGAGAAAAGAAATGGAAAAAAGAACAAAAAGAAAATGTTAGAGAAAAAAAATTGCTGCACAACACAATACTTCCTCCTCCACTCTTCTTCTTCCGCCTCTACTGTCCTCATAAGGCTGGCTTTAGTGCTTTTATGCGTTTCAGCGAATAAGGACAAAACATTATGCTTTACAATTTAATTGTTTTTTTCTGTCTATTGTTTAGAGGAAATTAGATGAGGAAAATGAGGAAATGCTGAAAAATGACGCCAGTTTTTTGTGTTTGCTTTCTGATGCAACTACTGCGTCTTTTGCTACTTAGAACTTTTTTTGTTTTTTTCATGATCAGTTTACCATTGATTTTTTTGTTGTTTCGCATTGCCTACATTTGTACTTGTCCGCACTGGTGCTGGCTTGATTTGTTATTCAAATATTGTAAGCTGAAACTGTTTTACAGTCGATGTTGATTTAGGCGATAATAAGCGAAAACGGTACGGCTGCCGATGACATCATTACGATAGTATCTCTTTTGAAACATTTCTTCTTTTTTGCCTCAATTTACAATTGCACCAGAGACAACTGCGTCAATGTGAAAAAATTTACATATTGTTGCAGCAGTTGCTTTCCTGAAATGATTAAAATAGTCTCAATAACAAACACAAAACTACAAAAAAATGCAAAAAAATAAACTTTAAAAAATATTAAATAAAATTTTTACAGTTTAACAGGTAATGCTATCTAAATAGTTTTTACAAAAAGTTTTATCAATTTTTTCTACTACTAAAATGCTTTAAATTGTCAAATATATACAATAATTGCTAATGATTTTTTCAACTAACAAAATTCAATTAAATGTTTTTAAAATAAAATTAATTTTAAAAAAACATACATTTTGCTTTTATTTTACGCATAAAAAACCGTAAATTTGTTTAATTAAGCAAAAACAGAAGCAAACACTTTTTTACTTGTGCAAAAACTATAAAAAACTAAAACGTTATTTGATTTCAAATTAGATTAATGCTGGTTAGGAAGATTTTGGAAACCAATAAATTGCATTTTTTTGCAAATGGCAGCTTGAATGTTTGATTTTCTGACAGTTACTGCAAAACCTTCTAAAGATGAACACTTTTGAAAAAAACAAAGTTTGCTCAACAGCTAAATCTAATATTTTATGTAATTTTTTTGAGAAATTGCTTATGAGTATGTGTTTTACTAGTTTGGCCAAAGTAGTTGCTCATATAATATTCAACAAAATGATTGATTAATTAATGAAGGTGGCGGTGTTTGCAGTGGCTATGCTAGTCACAGACTGCACTGTAGAAAACAGTAAACAAGATATGTGCTATGGTAAAAAAGAGTAAAAACCTTTTTTATAAAGTTAACATAATAAAAAAATAAAAAAGTATTTCATATGTTTTTTAAAAAAGCATAAAGAAGAAAATAACTAATGGTTTTCAGGAAATGTGTTATTAAAAAAATATTAAAAAAATAGACTACTTAAAAGTAGCTAGTCCGCATAACTCTTTTTCTAGTCTTTTTTTAGCAAAAACTCCGTCTTTATTTTGTAGAGAAAAAAGCTCAAAATTTTTAAAATTGAAAAAACGGATTATCACAAACACACTGCCACAAACTCAACAACAACAACAACAACAACAGCCAAATAACTGTCTGTGCCAATATTTCTGTGCAGTGAAGTGCGGCCACAGACAGGCAAACCCAAGTGAGTTTGCACTACAAATCAATCATCATAGGTTTTTGCTTTTCAAAAAAATGCTGTTCAAGCCATATTGCCAACCAAACAAAAGCATAAGCTCTTCCACCTAATCAGTCAACTAACCGCTACTACTACTACTACTACTACTACTACTAGTACTTACCAATGAACATGGGAATGGTGAAGACGGTCATGAGCAGGTCGGCGATGGTGAGATTGGCGATGAAGATGTTGGTGGTGCGGCGACGCATCGCCCGCTTGAAGAGGATCACCTTGCAGACGAGGAGGTTGCCGAGGAGGGAGACCAGCACCACCAGGCCGTACATCACCACGACGAGCACCTGCTCGAGGGTGAGGTGCTCCAGGCTGAACTGCATCGCCTTCCGCATGATGTCCGAGTTGTTGGCGGCGTACGATATTTGCTCCATTTTGTTTGGTGATGGTGAATTAATTTGTAGGTTTGAGGATTGGGCTCAGGCAGCAGCAAATTGGTACTACTGTTGTTGTTGTTGTTGTTGCTGCTGCTGCTGCTGCTGCTGTTTTGCAGTTAAAAATAGATTTTTTTAATGAAGAATGTGCTATTACCAAGAACTCGAGCAAGTCAATTGATTAAAAACTAAATTTTTTTATTTGTTATTTTTTTTGNAGCTCAGGCAGCTTTAAATTGGTACTACTGTTGCTGTTGTGGTTGCTGCAGTTGCTGCTGTTTTGCAGTTAAAAATAGATTTTTTTATTTAATGAAGAATGTGCTATTACCAAGAACTCGAGCAAGTCGATTGATTAAAAACTAAATTTTTTTTATTTGTTATTTTTTTTGTAAGGAGCCCGATGAACTTCTTCTCTTTCAATTGATGCTCACAGTTGTGCAAAAACAGAAAATTTTTTTTACTTTAGTAGATTGAAGTGGATAAACACTTTGTAAGTTGCCGTGGGGTAAAAATGAAGAGGAAAACAGTGTTAAAGAATAAAAAAATTAAGTTTTTTGCAGTAATTTTTGCTTGAATTATTTGGTTAAATTCAGTTCAAAGAAAGGCGTCATCTGGCCTGTCTGGTCGTCGATGCTCAAAATACCAGAAGTAGTAGCATTTTAGTAGTAGAACGCCAAAAACTTAAACAAAAANACAGTTGTGCAAAAACAGAGAATTTTTTTTACTTTAGTAGATTGAAGTGGATAAACACTTTGTAAGTTGCCGTGGGGTAAAAATGAAGAGGAAAACAGTGTTAAAGAATAAAAAAATTAAGTTTTTTGCAGTAATTTTTGCTTGAATTATTTGGTTAAATTCAGTTCAAAGAAAGGCGTCATCTGGCCTGTCTGGTCGTCGATGCTCAAAATACCAGAAGTAGTAGCATTTTAGTAGTAGAACGCCAAAAACTTAAACAAAAACAGCGATGATAACTTTTTAGCAGGTTTCTGATGACCGTGATGAAAATATCTCTTTGTGAGTGGTTGTGTGTGTGTGTGTGTGTGCGTGCAAAAACAATAGCAAAGTTTGCCTTTCCAGTTGAAAGCACAACTTCATGCTGTGCAAAAAAAATGAAAGGCCAAATTGAATCAAACTGGGGGAAGGAAGGAAGAAGAAGAAAAAGAAGAAGTAGAATAAGTAAAGCAGGACAAAGACGACGACGAGTACGACTTCCACCACGACCACCATGACCAAGATTGGCTGATTCCATCTGGTGATAGCCTGTTTTTTCCCGCGCAGCCCAAAAAAGCTGTCAGCTTGAAGTGCGCAGAAGCGCAAGAGGGGTGGACATTTATGCTCGTTTTCTCTCTCTCTCTCTCTCTCTCTCCAAAAAAGCCCCTAACCGCCGGG